CAAGAAAAATAATAATTTTGAAAATAAATGGGTTTTTTTCGTTTGGCATAGGTGTTTGGAACACCCGGTGTGACTTATGTTAGGCGAAGGGTTGGCGAAGAATACAACCCAGAATGTGTGGTTCCCACTGTTAAGCATGGTGGAGGCTCAATAATGATCTGGGGCTGCATGGCTGCCGACGGAGTGGGCAAAATGGTGTTGTGTGAGGGACGAATGAATAGTGTTAAATACACTGAAGTTCTGGAAACAGCACTAGCAACGTCGATAACGCAAATTTTCGATGATACAAACACCGATGGCCTGAAATTTCAGCAAGACAACGCCACTTGCCACAAGTCCGCGCATACCATGAAGTGGTTTGCTGAAAATCATATTGATCTTTTGGACTGGCCACCACAATCACCAGACCTCAACCCGATTGAGCATATTTGGTCCATTTTAAAGAAAAATATCCGCAGGCACTCGATTAGCAATAAACAAGCTCTATTGGCCGCGTTACAGCAGGAATGGAAAAATATATCAAGAGAAGAATGTTTCAGGCTGGTAGAGTCAATGCCAAAAAGAGTGGCTGAGGTTATTAAGTCAAAAGGTGGACCTACAAAGTATTAATTATTTTCTTAAAATAAACAATTGTAATCATAAATGCAGTTTTATTTACACTCGCTATGCTAAAACACCCTAAAACTTGTCTTACTGTAGGGTGCCTAATACTTTTGCCCGTGGCTGTATATTAATAAATGTGTCCGGACAACTTTCCATTTGTGATTAAAAACAGTTTTTAGTGGTTTTAAGTTGTAGTAAAAGCGATCTCAAAATAATGAAGTTTTAACTGTTTTTTGGTGGTTAATAAGTAACTAAAGTATCCTTACTACGCGTGTCTGTTTAACTAAATTTACGATTCTCCTCATATTTGTTATACTATTTAATAATACAATGGGAACTTCTTTATGAAGGAGTTTTCATTATTATACTATATGAAAAAATAAAGAAAAGCATATGTAAATGGATCCTATGTATAAGGGCCAATGTAGAAATTTAGACATTTTTGCTTTAAACACTTCATAATTTTATTCTACGAATCCATTTAAAAAAATGTGTATTTGTTGGTGGAAAGACTTAGTTTTTATTGAAGTAACAGAACATAAGTAACAGACTTTTTAATGTATAAGGGCTTATATACATTATTTAAGAAACTAGTATGTTTACAAAATAGTTATCAATCTTAAATGACGTACATGTATGTCATAGTTGCTATGCAAAGTTTCAAAAGCATCAGTTGTATGTACAAGGTACATTGAAATCAAACTTAAAACACCTCTACTGAACAATTGACATTTTGCACATTGGCCTTTACCTATACATATGAGCCATCGATATATTGTATGACTAAAATATACCACTGCACTGTCTGTAGGTAATCTAAATTAATAGTTTTTTAGTAAACGCCTATTCCTACTAATATTATAAATGCGAAAGTAACTCTGTCTGTCTGTCTCTCTGTTAAGCTTTCACTCCCAAACCACTGAACTGATTTTAATGAAATTTGGTACAGACATAGAGTTGACCTTGAGAAAGAACATAGGATAGTTTTTATCCCAGACTTTTGAAAGGTTCTCTTTTAAACGCGACATAACCGAACTCCACGCGGGCGAAGTTGCGGGCGGAAAGCTTGTACTCTATATATCTACATGAAATATACATTTTATTTATTGTTTGTGTATCCTTTAATATTTGTTCCGGCGTTTCTCCAAAACAGTTGGACCGATTTTGATGGGAATTTCATTCGGGTATAGGTAATGTCATAACGGGTGACTTGACAAAATTTTCAACCGACTTAAAAATGGAGGAAGTTTTTTATCGATTTATATGTGTTACTCATTAATTAAAATAATAATTTATTTTTTCAATTAAAAGGCTAGTATCCTGAGGTTATATTAGTACCAAGTAAAAAAAGTTCCCTGGAGTATTCCTTAAAATCTCCTAAGGATGCTAACGCCTAAGTTAAAAGTATATTATGCATTCATTCTGGCAAAACCGCTGAAAAAGCCTAGCGACTTAGTCATTTATAAAGTAGTACAGACACACAAACATTTTTTATACATTAATGCTTATCTTATCCCATTAAGATGAATCAATGTTTATTGATGAACCGTTAATCATCTTCAATAGAAGCTTTTAACCAACTTCACAGTTCAGATGAGTTAAGCCGGCCATACACGCTACGGTCTACTGATAGGTCCACCTGTGCAGGTAGACCAGAATGTGTGTGGAAATAGACCTGTGCAGTTTGAACGCCACCATTGTAAGTTGACCTGCACACGTATACCTGCACGGCTGCACAGATTAGTATTTGATAGATCGGTAATAATAATATATATGTACCATATGTTTGTATGTACGTCATACGAAGAGTCTACCGTCTCTCATTCAATAAGCTATATTAATAATGCGAAGAAATGTGTGTGTGAAATACTGTTAACGCAGAGTATGTAGTGTCGTGCAAACTTGTGGTAAGCTTATATATCAAGTGATAGAAGGAATAACTCGAAATCAGATTCGACGACATTGTCATTGCCTGAAATCACAAAAGATTTTTAACATATCTGGCCTCTTAGTTTTATTTATTTTTAAATATATATTTGTTTTGAATATTAATTTAAATATATACGTATATATTTTATTTATGTAATCTCTCATATATATAGAACATCGTATATATTGTTATATATTATTATATTTTAAATTTATATATACAGTTTCGTTGTGCTTATATTGAAACATATGTATGTATGTCTTTGGTTAAAAAGCTACTTTGTAACAATCTTCCAAATAGTTTCGTTTTCATAATTGACATATCTTTATTATACATATAATAAAGAATATCGTGTTAGTTGTACTATTTATAACTCAAGAACGGTTTTACGGGTTTGGCTGAAAATTGGTGGAGAGATAGATTAGTACAAGGTGACGGACATAGGATACTTTTCATCTGACCGGAAAAGACAAAAATAAGTTGATCAAATCCTAAATCTTATCTATTGTCTTTAAGGAGGAACAGAGTTCGACTGGTCAGCTATACATTACTAACTTTGAAACTAACTCTGACGAGGTCGCGGGCAAAAACTAGTTTTTTTTATTAAAAAAATACTTTTAAAATTAAAAATATCTATACATACTGATATATAAAATCGAATTGATCGATTGCGGTTTCAAATAAACATTTCTCTCAAACTGTCCGTTCACTCTTCATGTGAGAGTTTTTCAACCTTCTCCATGTGAGAAGAGGCCTTTGCTCAGCAGTGGACTCTGATAGGATTATGATAATGTTTGTTCATTTGTGTTCTGATTAATCTCTGGAACGATTGAAACTGTTTCGACGATTTCTTTTCTTATAGGTAGATCGATTTTGATGGGAATTTAATTCGCATATAGGTAATGTCATGGAGAATAACTTGACTATTTTTAATCGACAACCAAATGAAGTTGTAATTCGGAATCATATTTTTTATTCTATCAATTCTCCATTTAAACGGACTTATTTATTACTAGCTTTCCGCCCGCGGCGTCGCTTGCGTCGAGTTCGGTTATACCGCGTTTCCAAGAGAACCTTTCAAATGTCTGGGATAAAAACTGTCTTATGTTCTTTCTTAAGGTCAACTCTATCTCTGTACCAAATTTCATTAAAATCAGTTCAGTGGTTTAGGCGTAAAGCGTAACAGACAGACAGACAGTTACTTTCGCATTTATAATATTAGTAGGGACTAGTTTTCTTGTAAGATCATCGTCCTGCTGTAGGTTCCAGTATCACCTAGTCAAGACTTGATATATGATTTCAACTTCATACATTCTGTCAGAAATATATACAATAATTATGCCTCGTTTATATTTAATGAATAAAAAAAGCTTCTTTTTATACAGGGTGACTGGTGAATTACTATCGATACTTGAGGACGTGATATTTGACGATCATATATGACAAAATAAAAATTAATATAACAATAATATTAATAAACTTCTAAGTAAAGTTAACCAAAAGTTATGTAATTAATTACGCACCGTGTGAACACCCTACAGATTAGGTATACACACACACATACACATACACACGTCGGCGGCGTAGTGTTGTATCAGCACGCCACCATACGCGTCCACACTTGGAACATTTGGAACGTGTCCGCACTTTATTTATTTATACGGAAATTTTGTCAAAAATTAAGTACCTATTTTTTTTACATAATTCGAATGTGAATCATGTACCGAGTATTCTCCTTAAATATTGATAGTAATTCACCAGTCACCCTGTACATGGAGAAACGAATAGATTCTTTATAATAAGGGTTTTTAAAGCTGTTTAGATTTAAGGAAGACATTATAGCTTATTTTTTTAAAGTGATAGACGTAATATCCTAGAAGTCGCCGGTTCGAATCTTATTGTTGTCAATTTTTCAATCCTTATGAACAATAACCTCTGAATGATTTTTTTTTATTTACTCAATACATAAACAATCATATACTAGTCTCATTTAGCTCTTTAAGAAGTAGTCCTTTTCCAACTAATTTTCTGTCGATATTCATGAAAAGTTACATCAAAATTGACATAGCTATATTAATTTATTTTATTATCCTTACGTTGTTAACTAATGTTGTGTGAATGTAAAGTCGATTATAATTTTTGATCATTTCATTTAAATAACTGTTCCTTATGCGAGAACACAAACCAGTCTCGTATTATTATTGTCGTTATCAAAACAAGTAACCTTATGAATTCTTTATATATATGTATTAGTTTTTATTATAATTGATCTAACTAAAATACTAAGACTTTTATTTTATGAAATAGATATATATTTGTGATGAGAAATAAGTTGTGGGGTAGAGAATAATAATGAATATTTAGATAATTTGTCCTAGCTATATGTCATTTGTGTGTACGTTGGTGAATCCTGGATATATAATAAAATTCTGATAGGACTTTTTTCTCGCTCTGAAACCTCTAGGAGATGATGAAGAAGGCTAGCATAATTCAGGACTTGGTATCTATATGCTACAAGTAAGGAAATTGAGGTCAATCCCCTGGTGATCTCCATGTGCAAAACCCTCATGCATGCTTAAAGTCGTTTCCAAGGTACAATTCTGTTTGTAGACTATAATTGCTAAATTTCAGACGACACGCAGTTGAGCTCCCAAAGCCTTACTTTCTTGTTGTCTTCGCTACTTGGACCCGTAAACGGAGGTTTAGTTGTGCATCTACAACAGAATTGCTAAGTTAGTTCTGTTTTTAATGATTTATAGTTCATAGGGCCTGGATTGAGAGGAGTTCCTGATACGTCTTGACAGGAATTCATGAGAGCATCTAAATCTATTGTCATGAAACAAACTCCACGTAAATGGCAACTTTGTCATGGACGATCTGCAGCCGGATTTTAGCAAGCGGCTGCAGAGAATTGTTACCGTTATCCTCTAATCACTCTTCTTAGTTTATATGACTTCCCAAGGATCCACTCTAGTGTTAATCACCATGGCTAAGTTGAATGCGGGATCGTAATACGATGACAGGGCCCAGATGGTAATTCGGGGAAGAGCTGCTTATTGAACTGAATAGCTAGGTTCAAAAACTATTCAATACCTCCTTGCGTGTAAACTTTTTCCGAAAGCCTGGAAATAAATGATATTCTCCCTGGTATGGAAAGAAGTGCGTCCGGAAGACAGGCCAATCGTATTGGGGTATGAGATGAACAATTTCTTTGTGAGATTATTCTCTGTCCGTCTTCCGATCAGGTAGATGTCCAGGTCTATCTGACGCTCAGTTCTGCTTCAAGGTGGGTCGATCAACCACCAACCCTAAGACAGACAGTATGACTCTATAGACAGTGTTCCGGCAGCTTTATCAATATAATCATCTCCATAGACTTCTGCTAAGGTGATAACGTGGGTAGTGTAGTATGAAGGAAAGTCCTTTAAGCCTCTCGACTCCCCAATGTTACATAAAAAGAATTTTCTTTATATGTATACATAGATGTAAATGTTTTTGGTCCCAAATATCTTTGTTATATTATTGTTCAAACTTGTTTAAGTGGATTATAGTTTATAACATTTAATACATTAATAATAAACTTTATTATCCTATTTTATTTTATTTGGTTTTTTATAATCTCTGAAATGCCATCCTGTTAACATAATAGTTTGATATCAAAATCAACTTTATTTTATATATAATTTAATATAATAATAATATGGAGACAGTCTTGCTATCGTGTTCATAGAAATAGAAAAATTCAAGTTAACCTTTACATATATGCATATTTATAGATCAGGTTTAGTTCAGTAGTGAGTCTACTGTTCTAGACTACATTAGGTATTAAAGATTCCAACGTTTTATAATTATAAAAAAGATACAAATCATTTATATCATGTCATATTATCTGAGATATTTTGAATGTTTATTTGGTGGCTATAAAAGAATTTATATGAAGTGTATCATATTGCATTTTTGACTCTCTTTTTGGGTTAAATTGATCTGTTTAAAAAAAAGGGGGGCGGATATAAGCTTAAAATCACTGCTAAAGCTAAATAATTAAATTTTAATCCATAAACCTCATAAATATATTAAAGTATAATAACCGAATAATGTTTGGTCCAGAGAACTCAAGAGTGATATGTCGACACGAAGCGGCGCCGGCGCGTTAAGGGCGCGCCGCGGGCACAAGGAACGGTCCAAGAACTTCACCGAGCTGGAGAAGAGGACCGTCCTGGAGCTCATCGCCAGGCATCGAGACGTGCTGCGGCAGGGACGGTCTAACAACGCGACCAACCGGAGCAAACAGGTGAGGGAGAAGAATGGAGAAGAATGGAGTAGTCAGTGGTAGCCTAGTGGTTAAAAGGCCCGCCTCATGCATGAGGGCGCGGCTTCGATCCTGGATCTGGCAAGTACCAATGTGATGTTTCCGAGTCATATGTACGGCCTAAGAGTGTTTAGAAATCACTGATTAGTGCATTCCCAAAGAGGGTTGATTTAAGGGCGGCCGGTCGTAAAAACATATAGCCAAAACTATTCATAACATGTACGGCAGACCCTGGCTATAGCTGGGAAATTGCCAGGTAGAAGAATGAGAGGAGAATGGATGAAAGAATCGAAGGAACAGTGGGTGTTTGGTAGACGGTAGAAGAAAGAATAACTTACGATGTAGTTAAGCGAATAATACTATTACTGCAAAAAGTAGGAAATAGGAACTTTTTATTATGATCAATCAGTTATCGATCTAATTGGTTTAAGTCAAAAACAGACCATGACAATCAGTAGACCAAGATATGAGATAAAATCATTTAGTAGATGGAGTAAGTTGGATATACTTGAACAAACTAAGCATTCATTGAATGTACAACTACAATATCATCATCATCATCAGCCTATCAGAGCCCACTGCTGAGCTGCCTCTTCACACATGGAGAAGGTTTGAGCATTAATCACCACGCTCGCTCAAGACGGGTTGGTGATTTCAAACTTATAATTTGAAACAAGTCCATGTTTCCTCACGATGTTTTCCTTCATCTGTCAGTCAGTGGTGTCTTAATACTCTTAGATAGTACATATGACTCGGAAAAATCACATTGGTACTTGCCAGGATCGAACTCGTGAGCCCGTGCATGAGAGGCGGGCGTTTAACCACTAAGCCACCATTGACTTCTATTTTCTATACTACTTTATTATACTGATGGCCACAAAGAGTTATTTCAATACACAATATCAATCACTGAAATCCCTACTAATATTATAAATGCGAAAGTCTGTCTGTCTGTTACGCTTTCACGCCTAAACTACTGAACTGATTTTAATGAAATTTGGTACAGACATAGAGTTGACCCTGAAAAAGAACATAGGATAGTTTTATCCCAGACTTTTGAAGGGTTCTCTTGGAAACGCGATATAACCGAACTCCACGCGGGTGAAGCTGCGGGCGGGAAGTTAGTTATTCATATACATATAACCCATTACTTGAAAACCTAATTTGATTTACAAACTTTCAAAGAACAGGTTAATTGATACCTTTTCGAATACTGAATGGTCTTATACAATACTTGGTCAATATCACCAATAAGCCAGAAGAATGTAACATTAAATTTTCTTTCTCTTTGATGTACTGCTTCCAAAATTTCTTGTTAATTCTCAATATAACATTAGCGTAGACCGTTTAAGGACATAGGTTACAATTAACTGGGATCTACACAAGATTTAACTGTCAAGTTAAAATAAAAAGTTAGTTTACATCACAAACGACTTCTATGTGTATTTTTATTTCTATAATATTCGTTTTTATTCATCCTCGCGATATCTTTTTATATTCAACTAGCTTTCCGCCCGCAGCTTCGTCCGCGTGGAGTTCGGTTATATCACATTTCCAAAAGAACCTTTCAAAAGTCTGGGATAAAAACTATCCTATGTTCTTTCTCAAGGTCAACTATATCTCTGTACCAAATTTCATTAAAATCAGTTCAGTGGTTTAAGAGTGAAAACGTAACAGACAGACAGACAGAGCTACTTTCGCGTTTATAATATTAGTAGGGATAAATCTTTTTATCCAAAATATGCTTATACTATAACTGATGGACTTAAAAAGTTAAACGTCACTGTCTGTCTGTCTTTTTAATAAACGGAATAATCTCTTGATTTCATTTAAATGAAACTAATATTTTCAGATGTACTAACGCGTATTATTTTAACTACATACTCCCGACGTTTCGGTTACTTTTCAGCAACCGTAATCATTAAGACTAGATGTGAATCATGATTTCTTTTTCAAAGTAATCAAAGAACTATAAATTTGTATAGCGACACAACAGCTCATTTGTTAGTTTGTCTGTACTTAATTTACAAATAGAATAGGTTTTAGTCTAGGTCACGTAATATTTGTTAACTTTTAACTATAAATCACTACAGACAGATGTTTGGCAGAGGTGAACGACCTCCAAAATCGCCAAAAATGTGGTTTTGGATCAATTATTCAATGATAGGTAATTTCGTGATAATATTGTACATTAATGTGTAAAGATTATTTATAACAAAACTATTGATTCTTGAATTATTGGCGTCTCATCTTTCAGTACCATATAATTGGTGCATTGTTTATAATCAATGTCAGTTTGTGTGTACCAAAACATTGAAAACTTGACAAATTATTATATTTTATAACTTGTTTTTATGCATCCAATTTTTAAATTATCTTCTTTTAATTATGTCTTTTCATGAAACACACTTTATCTTTCGCTAGAAGAATACTTAACCAAAATTATATATGTTTTCGCCTATATATATTTACATAGTATATTTTTAAACAATTGATTCCTATTACATAATGCTGATGTCACGAGTAATACGATCTTACTCGTGTACACCGTAGTAGGAACACATTAAATGTTGCAAAAAAATCCGACCTTATAACAGATGAAGTTAAAATATATTTAAACTGATATATAAAGAAAATAATAATAAGGGAAGGTAAATATTTAGTTCATTTTCATCTATTATTATTATTAATTTTTATTAATTTTTAATAAATTTATTTGCATTAAGCAAAGAATTAGTATCCTAAAATTCTTGTTAAATTACAAAAAAAAGTTATTTCAGACTTTGTATTAAAATCTTAACAATTTTTATTTTTTAATTAAAAAAAAATATTATTGCTGAAAAGTAGCCGAAACGCTAGGAGTGTGTAGTTAAAAAAAGAATAGTAAAATAATAGTTTCATTTAAATGAATAAGTCTCGCGAAAATCTTAGATCTCATTGTAATAATTATATAAAAAAAAATATAAAGTTGTTTTAAAATATATCAAAGTTCTTTGTGGATTGAAATACATATGTAATTGGTAAGACAATATTTGTAACTTATTTTTAGGACCACAGGGTAACAAATAAATGTATTTTTTCACTAATATTAAAAATCTAAGCGAAGTTTTTATTCTATCACCCATTTTGTCTCGGCCTCGTTAATTTGAAATGATTGAATGTAACCTAACAAATAATAACGTAGTCGATTTATTAGAAACGTTAAACTATTCGTACGTAGTGTAGTGCAAAGTCGTACTTAGAGTATGATGGGTCTCTTGACTAAGTTATCTCACGTTAAAAACATTTGTTGATATAATTGATATATTTACATGTATCATCATTCATTATAATATTGAATACTTAACATCGTTAAAAAGAATAAAAGAGGGAATTACATATATTTCAATGTTAGATATATCTCGAAGGGGCCTCACCTAGAGGGCCCCTCTCAAAGGGGGGCCTCGTTTTAATAATAATAATACAAATATATATACGATCAGTTGGTGTGGTCCACTATCTGTTCCGAAGTGAACGCCCGCTGCGGGGGCGAGCGGCCGCGGACCCCGGCGCAGGTCAAGATGTGGTACGAGAACTATAAGAAGAAGTGCAAGATGCGCGCACACGACACACAGGTATATATATATATTAAATTGTTTTTGTATCATCATCATCAGCCTATCAGAGCCCACTGCTGAGCTGCCTCTTCTCACATGGAGAAGGTTAGAGCATTAATCACCACGCTCGCTCAAGACGGGTTGATGATTTCAAACTTATAATTGTGAAATTATAAGTCCAGGTTTCCTCACGATGTTTTCTTTCACCGTCTGTCAGTGGTGTATATTTTTGTATAGTTTGTAATAATTCCTTTCTAATTGAGCACTTATTTTACATTTAAAGTTCGCCTTAACTTGTTTAAATACAGTATTAACTGTTGATTTATTAAATTTCTATTAGATTTATTTAACTTAAACCAATTCATACAATATTTTAAGTGAATTCTTAGGTTAGTTTATATTAAAAGTTTGCTCGTTATCGTTCCAGCCGCCTGCCTCCGACCCGCCCGGTCTGCTGGACGGAATGCTCTGGCAGAGTATACATCCTCTAGACGTTAAAGGTAACGTATAGTGTAGATATTTATGGTTGATTCAGAAATAAAACTTGTCGGATATAAAAATGCACAAACGTATTTATTCAATTAATAGAAAATTAGCGACAACATTAAAAGAAGTGAAAAAAAGTAATGCCAACATAACAGCAAAATAGAAAAGACAACATAAAGAAAATAATTAAGATTGCGTTCACATTATACTATACATATATATACATTATATTATACATAGTATAACATTACAGACGTCATGAGGGGCCCTCTAGCGTAGGCCCTCTCACTATCAGTAAAGGCCCCCTATTTATATAAATAAGGGGCCACGAATTAAGATGCCATTTGTCGTAAAATATTAACTTACAAAACACTCTAATAAAGTTAAAAAAAAAAAGATAATTCTAAGTCAAAGTTTTCTATAAGTTGTATGAAATGTACGGAATTAAATACTTCTTGTGTTCTTCCAAGATATTATATGTGAAATATTGTAATATCTTATACGACGACTTACAGAAGAGGAGGGTGAAGCAACTACCAGCGCGGACGCTCTCAGTGGGAAAGACGACTACGGGCCCGTTAACGTGAGTTATACGTAGAGAGAGAGAGAGATATATATATATATATATATATATACAGAGAGACAGAGACAGATATACACACGCACACACATACATATACTAGACTATTATAACAATACACACCGAGCTTTCCACAGAAACACACTCATGTTACATGATTTTTACTTTAAAGCAATGTCCTAGACTCGAATAAGTAATGAATTAATAATACTCCGATATATATGTATTTCTAAAAATCGAATGCGCAATTAATTGTTGAGGAATCGCTGACTGATATCACAATTTATATTAGTTTTAGAGTCAGAGGTATACTTCAAAAGATTACAACGTAATAACCCTAGATTTAGTTATTATAAAAACAAATTATGTACATTATTTCATGGGTGTTAATAAGTTATTATTATATTCATTATAGATGTCTAACGGGCGTCTATCAACGAACGACAGTGACGACACGACGCCTAACGTACTGGAGCCTCAAGTTCAGATCATCCCGCAGTCACCCCCCGCACCCCACCTGACACCCCTCGCACCCCTCACCCTCAACACCCTCCCCATACTGACCAACCCGCTCCAAGCGATAGAACAGGCCAGGCTACAACAGAAGCTGCTCCACAAACTGAACGATCTACCAAACACGCCGCTCAACTTAAGTCACTTGGACCACCAAGGAGAGAGAGAGAGGTCCGAGGAAGCGAGACAGGAGACGAGCTCTGTATGCGAAGAAGAGAGACTCTATTACACAGCGAAGAGACAACACGCGCTGTGGGAACACGAGGCGAAGATGAAGATACTAGACATGGAGCTGAGGCAGAAGGAGGAGATCTTCTCACTGCAAAAACAACTCTTCCTCATCGAGCTAAGGTTGAAAATGGACTTTTTAGAGAAAGCCGGCAACAAATGACCGTATAAATGTTTTTTGCATTAATGATCCATTTGTTTTCCTCCAGCTGGTCATCATTAGCTTGTGGGATTATTTTATTAAAGCGAGTTTACCATATTTTTTGCATTGATGATCCATTAGTTTTCTTCATCTCGTTAGCTTATGGGATTATTTTATTGAAGCGTTATATATAGCTCGTATGATATATATTTTTTTATTTAGTACATATATAATGTGCTTGAGTTTTCGTTTTTTAGCCGCGTTTGTGCGGATTTATTTTTTTATAGTATTATATTTTTTATCGGCAGCCCGCGATCAAACTGCCAGTTTATAGGCGTATTGTTTTTTTAACTAGGTACTTAGAACCTTTTGAGGAGGTTTTTTTTTATTTCGTCTTAGGCTAGATTCCCGCTTTCGGGACTTATAGCGACTCCAGGCAGAACGGTGTAAGTGAAAAAGCTAGTCTTGTAAGATATAACAATTTTGTAGAGCGGTCAAGTGACGCACAGACGGGAAGTACACATAATATATGTTATATAGATATATATATGTTGGGGGGTCGTTGTATGCGTTTGATTTATATATCCGTTGATATAAATATTCGTAACGCGTTATAAGATTTGTATAAATATAATTATTTTTTATTAAAGATCGCTCTGCAGAATGTAGCTCCGAGTCAAAACGTGCCAACATCGTTGTTAAATAATTGTATAGTTATTACATTTATAAGAAATAGAGGAAAATACGTAATAATAAAATGATAATTAGATAAAATACGGAAAAAAATTATGAAATTCTATGCGATGATATTAATAATTTTTAAGTAATTTATGAATGATACAGTACAAAGGACGTTAGAAATGATTACCTCAAACCGACAGTGTATTGTACATAAATAGTTTTAGAGTTTTAGAAAACTTTTATATGGAACTTGTGGTTTTTATGTTTATCAACTCGTTTCCCGCAGCCTGTAGCTACAGGCCGCGGAGGTGGACCTATTGTGATGTATTTGTAAGATCTCAACACATGTACCGACCGAGCGAAGTTATTATTTGATGACATGTTATGTTAATCTGATGAAATTGGATAATATTGATATTTAATAAAGAATTTATTTTCTGTTCCGATGCTTTTTATTATATTTTTAATAATCATTTAATGTCTTTGGTTGTTTTAATTTACAATCTGTGTTCTATACCAACAACAATATTTTTATTAGGAATTGAAGTGTACTTTAAACATTACCCCTTTGGTATACCTATTATAGAATGAAGGTAAATTGTGACTGATTATTAGATATTATGCATCAGAATATAAATGTAAAAATTTATCAGAATTAAAATATTTCTCGAAAAAATCGAACATCGGAAAGTATCCTTAGTTCAAGATATCGTCACACTACAAAAGAAAAGTTAACAGTTTGTCATTCATAAGGCTTCCAACACTAATATTAACGTAGATAACTGAATGAGTCTCAATAACGGGAAACGCCTCGTATGTAGTGACGATATTAACTTGGACTAACACATACACTTGGTATTCATTAACACAATCGGCAGACGATTACCAGTCATGATAATGTTACATCTAGATTCTAAAGTTTCATTCATTCATTCAAATAATTATTTAATTTACATTTTGAGAAATTCTCCAATATTTGGCGCTTCTTTACCTTACGTCGTTTCGTTTTCATATTACCAACAGTCTTGATATCCTATTATATCCTAGCCCTACCTACCAAAATAGATATTCCTGACTCCTGAATTGACCTAAACCCCTCATCACATTATGACAAACTAGCGTATCATGGTCAATTAAACGCTCACAGCTTTTCAAAGTATAATCTATTGTATATATACTTACTTACTCCTTAAAATTCATTAAATTCCTAAGTACAAATCTATAGGAGTTTACCCACGTAGTTTTTCCTTTAAAATCTGAAGAGCTTCTTGATGAGTCTTTATACAATGGACGGATGTCCTGTAGGCTGAAAGTGCATGACGTAGTTACTAGACTTAAACCGCTAATTTTGTCCTACGAACATATCTGGTTTTAGCTGTTATGCTATACCCCCACTACTTGAATTACAAAACCAATAAAAGTTGTGATGAAGAGACGCCACCTTCCTTAAATTTAAGCTTATCGCTACAAATTTAACTGGCGTCATTATAAATATTTTGCAGAACATGTACAATCGGATAATAAAGTTGTTATATTACAGTAATATCCTTACTTACATTAATATCCTTACCTGATATATTAAACCATTATTTCTTTTAATTTAAAAAAAAATGATCCCCTTTCAAAGCTTCCCGCTATTTCTTTTATAACTTTCACGTCGTTCTTAGCTTACTATGTATATTTATATATATTCTATTGGTTAGTGAGTACGCATAATATATATTATATAAAACAAAATATGTTGTTCAGGACAAAGTTATTTTCCTAATTGTTTTGTACCACTGATTGAAAAAAAAATAATAATATCTATTTCGGAATTCGACGCAAGATCAACAGTTTCAAGATAGCTGAGTAATACTTAATGATGAAAATAAAATGCAAAACTTTTTCTTTTATTATAATCATTAGTAGGGCTCGGATAGATATGTATTAAAAATCTAAAATATGTACCTAAAATATGGACGAAAAAATCAAAAATATGGAGTATAAAATAAAATACTTTCATTATTTACTATAAGAAAAGGGTCACTCATGACGTACATCGTTAAGTTACATTTAAAAAACGATGAAAGAAAAATAGCGACGTATTTATTTCAAAAAAAAATAACAGTTGTATACAACTTCCATTACACTAGGCTTATCAAATTGTTTGCAATACACAATGACGTGCTTCTTTAAATAATAAAATGAAAACCGACCATTTGGTTGAAATATAGCCTTATATCTGCTGAATGATCTCTCTACGTCACATGACGTGATGGGTGCATTCTTAAACATGCTTAATTCAGTTATTGTGTAAGTCATGTCTACAGCACTCGAAACTTTCGCACAGAAATTTGTTAATTTTTTTTAGCGTATTAAATCCATTATTTTTATCCAAAACATTAGTGGCGGAAACGTAAATTTTATGTATTTTTGTCAATGTATGGATGATTGTGACATTTTCTTGTAATAAAATATGGACTTAACTTTGAAATATGGTAAAATATGGAAAATAAAAGTTGGTTTTTCACAGTCTATATATAAAAATCCAAGTAAAAAACACATTCTAGACTGAAAATCGTGTAAATTAAAAATATTTATTTACATATTAATCAGGGCCCTAATCATTATTATTATAATTTATGTGTTATTTGTAAATTTTATTGGCAGAGATAAAAAAAAATTAGATTTTAATTTTTTCCAAAAGCACCTTAGTTATTTAAGCATTAAAAAATTTGGGACTTTTTTAAATTCTCATTATTATTAGACACTATGCAATGTACATAAAAAAACGTTTCGTTTTAGATGGACTCCCGGACTTTTGCCTCAACAATGCCGTGTTATTAAAAAGTATAAGCTGTCAAACTGAACATTGTGTCAACAGACAACAGAAATAATCTCAAACTGTGATTCCTCTTTACTCTTTAGAATTAGTTTATTTTTAATAATATGGCAAATTTATTACTGAAAAAAGATGGTATTTGTAGGACTTGTCTGAAGGAAGCCGTTAATTGCAAGTCGTTGTTGACTAAAATGGAGAACGACGATAGAACTGTGTGCGAAGTTTTAAGTTGCATTACGAGCTTTGATATAATTATAAGTGAAAAATATCCCAAACAGATATGTAACGAGTGCTTTATTATGATACGGAAAACTGAAGAGTTCAAGAAGCGTTGTATTCAGTCAGAAACGTTATTAAAAAATGAATTTTTAAACTGCTCCGTGTTTGTTGACGATTTTGTAAAGCAAGATCTAATACCGAATAGCAATCTATCCCCGTCTTTTAATAATGAGGATACTTTAAGTAGTGTGACTGATACACTTAAGATTGACGTTTTGAACGTGATAAAAAAGGAAAGAGATGATTTCTTACAAGAAGACATAGAAGATTTATCTAATACTAATCTCATTGATAAAATTGAACTGACTGAAACAACTCCTCTGATTTGTATTTCCAAAACTATATCTAGTGATTATGGCAGGGAAGAAAAATTTAATCACGAAGAAAGCACCACGAAGTGTGAAAATTTATTTGATGTATGCAAAAGAGAAATTGCATGTTCAGAATTATCAAAAACAGGTTCAAATGCACAAAATGTGTGTAACTTTGAGCAGAACTTTACAAATGATTGTAATATTAGCAATAAGTATGAAATTAATCAAGTAGATAGCACATGTAGTGATTATAATTCCTCTACAACAAAAATATTTAACGAAGATATTGCTGTTATAAAACAAATAAGTAATGAAAATGAATCAAGGAGTCTGGCAAATAAACGGAAACCACTAAAACCAGATGCAATTGACGAATCATCAACAATATCATGTCCTCACTGCACATGGGTGCTGCCCGATGTGAAAGCATTTGAAAAGCATCTAGAGAAGCACAGATGTGCAAAAAAGAAAGAATATCAATGCTCAATGTGTTCTAGAAAATTCCTAAGTAAACAACTATTGAGGAAACACATTATCTCACATCTAGATAAAAATGATCAGAAATTTGTTTGTACGACATGCAAGAGAGAGTTCAAGCATCAGGCACATTTAGAAAATCATATAGAAAATGCGCACACAAAGATAAAAGGCTTCAAATGTGACACATGCACTAAAAGCTTCTCCAACCAGGAAAGTCTAGAATTCCACAAAAAACAACATACAAATACTAGGAAATATCAATGCAATGTCTGCAGCAAGACGTTTGCTGTACATTCAGTACTCAATGAACATTTACGGACTCACACGGGAGAAAAACCGTTCCTCTGTTCAATTTGTGGAAGAGGTTTCACACAAAAGACGAATTTAGCACAACATATGAGGCGGCATCAGGGTTTGAAACCATACAAGTGTGGTAACTGTGATAGAAGGTACTTTATTTACTTATTTTAACAGAGACGAAATCTCTCATCATAACATGTATTCACGGTGCGTGTGTCGGGTCCATCGTTGTAGTTAGAGGAGCTTCAACAGTGTATGGGACTTGTGACCCAGGTGTGGGTTTAAGGGTCCCCTATCTAACGCGTTTTAAAGGTCACCTCCACTGTCCAAGCTCCTCTCTTTATAACCACCAAGCATTTATTTAAATCATCAAAACTATTTACTTATGTTATTATTATTTTTCAGTTTCGTATCAAAAGGCGAACTAGATGCTCACACTCGCAAGCACACCGGCAAACATCCGTTTGTATGTGATGAGTGTGGGAACGGCTTTACAACATCCAGTTCATTAACAAAACATAGAAGAATACACACAGGAGAGAAAAGATATGCGTGTGATCTGTGTTCAATGAGATTCACTGCTTTGGGTACTTTGAAGAATCACAGAAGAACACATACAGGAGAAAAGCCATATCAGTGTATGTTATGTGAAAAGGCATTCATTCAACGGCAGGATCTTGTTGGTCATATAAGATGTCACACCGGAGAGAGGCCGTTCACCTGTACGAGCTGCGGGCAAGGATTTAGGAAATCATCGGCACTGAAAGTACATTTAAGGAGTCATGGGAACGACATGCTCGTTATGTGAAACTTACCGGTCTCAGTGTAACTATTACATATATTTTGTAAGTTGAAATAGATTTTTTTTATTAAGATGCATTTTATGTCAAGTTATCATAGTTATTATCTTACAACAAATGGGTAAGTTTGACCAGTTTCTGTGTAAGTTTATTTGTATGTTCCCATTTAATTCTAAATTGTGTATGATAAATAATTTTTTCCCTATTTGTTTATTATTTGACTGTTAAAAAGGTTTAATAGGTGCCATAGATTTCAGTATTTTTATTTTAGTTACCACAGTGTATACAAACTAGAAAGAAATAAAAATTACTAAAAATTAACTTGGAATTAGTGAATTATACAGATATTGTGGAAATTAATCTATTTGTGCCAACTATAGATTATTAAAAAATGCATTTATATGAAAACAAGTTCACTTAGTATAAAACTTATTTTTAATGTTTGCTAATTCATAATTTCATATGTCCTAGCATTATCATACTTTTGTATTGTCATTGTTTTAAATGAGAATTGTAATTAAATAAATATATTTTTTAATGTCAATAAAATGAAATATATATTTTTAATAATTTATTTTCCACCACAGAACATACAAATGAATACTTGTTTAATACATGTAAGTTATATTAATTAAATTTAAACAAGCATCTTCAAATCATAAGATATCAAACATTCCTTATTATGTGATTGAGACCAAATTTGTATATACATATAACTTATTTTAAACAGATGGACATATTCTCTTACTGATCATTATAAATAATGAAACAAATATTGCATGCACCTCAAATAGTAATTTGATTGCAATATTAAAAGCTAATATAAATAATATTGAAAATGAAGCAGGAATTTTATTGAGTTGATTTTAAATAAGAAATTTACATCATATGAAAAAAAATTAAAGGTTTTTAATGAATTAATTACATGTTTCTCCACTTTTTGTTGTTTTTTTTTTTTCAGATCTATAATAAACAATGTTTGTAGTGAGTGTAAATTAAATGCCAAGCTATTTGTGACTTATTTATTAGCTTGTAATGCTGTCAGCTGTTTTTTCAGGTCTAAGAGTACATTGACCTCTGGTTGCCAAACTGATTTGTCCTTTGTTGATGCTTTTAGCTTTCTGACTTTATCACCCTGTAGGAAAAACAAAAAATATTAGACATTTATATGAGAATGTATGCATACATATATGTTTGTTACTTAAATATGTAAAGTGGCCTAGGATTGGATATTTTAAAGGTCAAAAAGTAGTTAATAAAGATATTGCAGCTATGTATATTATAGCTAAAGAATTAAGAAATTGGTTTCCTGCAATACTTGTAACGGCTTGTATTTTGTGACATATTATATTAAATACTGCATCTCTTTTGATTAGTATACACTATACAGGGTGACTGGTGAATTACTATCAATATTTAAGGAGAATACTCGGTACATGATTCTCATTCGAATTATGTAAACAAAATAGGTAGTTAATTTTTGACCAAATTTCCGTATAAATAAATAAAGTGTGGACACGTTCCAAGTGTTTCAAGTGTGGACGCGGGCGGCGGCGTGCTCATACAACACCACGCCGCCGCACGCGTGTGTGTGTGTGTGTGTATACCTAATCTGTAGGGTGTTCACACGATGCGTAATTAATTACGTAACTTTTGGTTAACTTTACTTAGAAGTTTATTAATATTTATGTTATATTAATTTTTATTTTGTCATATATGATCGTCAAATATCACGTCCTCAAGTATCGATAGTAATTCACCAGTCACCCTGTATAGTTCTTTAGATGTAAGTATGAACCTATTTCATTATTTTTATGCTAAACATACAATCTGTAACCTTTGTCACTGATATTGTGAATAATCTATGCTGATAAAAATACAAAGCCATAAACTCTTAATACATAAAACTCATATAATAACTAGCTTTCCGCCCGCAGCTTCGCCCGCGTGGAGTTCGGTTATATCGCGTTTCCAAGAGAACCTTTCAAAAGTCTGTGATAAAAACTATCCTATGTTCTTTCTCAAGGACAACTCTATCTCTGTACCAAATTTCATTAAAATCAGTTCAGTGGTTTAGGCGTGAAAGCATAACAGACAGACAGTGAGTTACTTTCGCATTTATAATATTAGTAGGGACAATACAAGTTATTTTAGACATTCTAGGAGATGCTAATGATACCATTGTGCTACAAATTAGTTATAAATGTGTGTGTGTGTGTGTATGTCACCTGTTCAGCAATAGCCTTCTCCAGTGTCTCCACGCTAGTCGTGTCATTCTTCGTCTGTCTGTTTGTTTGTTCCGCTAGTTGTTTCTTCAGTTCCAACAGTTTATTGACCTCCGGTTGCCAGACACTCTTATCCTTAGTCGATGCTTTGAGTTTTCTTACTTTATCGCCCTGAAAGAAGTCATATACTACATAGTTTATATTAAATGATAGTGTATTTCATTAAAATGAATATTTTTAAAGATTTTGTATATTCTGTTTTTATATAATTTATATTGATAAGTTTTCAATCAATATGCATTGATGTTAAGGTCCTTTTTTGAACAAAAACTGTTGGATTTAGGCAAAATATCATGTATTTTGCACTAACTGAACCATATATATATATATACTAACTTGTTCAGCGATGGCTTTTTCCAGATCCGCTGCACTGTCAGTGTGTGTGTTTGTCTGTGTCTTTGTCTCTGTCTGTGTTAGTGTCAGCTGTTTCTTCAGAGCCAGCAGTACATCCACTTCCGGTTGCCACACAGCCTTATCCTTTGTAGACGATTTCAATTTTCTAACTTTTTCTCCCTAAAATTAATTTAATTAGTAAACACTGAATTAATGGGATTTCTATATTTGCAAACAAACATACGAATGATATTACAAAACACAGTATATACTTTCAATTTTATTCCAAATTAATTGGAAGATAAAATATATAAAAAAAAAATATAAATTAATTATATATTTTTATATAATATATATGATTATAACAACCTGAGCAGTTATAGCTGCCTCTAATTCAGCGACACTCATTTTCTTGCTGTCGCCGTTAGACTGAAAACAGTTAAGAATCATAAATACAATTATTTATATTTTATATGAAGAAATAAAATTATTATAAATGGATAATTTGACTAGATTGGTCCCGAACTTGGGATTATAAGAATTTCTTATTACAGACCGATTAACAATTGAGCTAACGTGTCTTAATTAAAATGTATGACCTATTACATTATATAAGACTTGGTCTACACGAGACATGTTTGTAAAAGGACCGAGAAATAATATATAAATAAGCAGTCTCAGTGACATAAGGTTGAGGTGGAAAATATACGGTTATTTTTAAAACGAAGCAATTTGATCACGGAGAACTAGAATTAATTTCATAACTGAATTATTTTGATTTAGAATACAAGAGGAGGTTTAATGTTCAATTATAATATTAAATATCATTTCAACTCCAAACGACAAGTTTTGTCAAAGATTTACTATTTAGAATTACTTAATATTTCGATCTTTTCTTTCTATAACTTATATAACTGATCAGTATAGGTGTAATCTCTCTCTCTCTCTCTCTCTCTCTCCCCTACCTTCTCCCTGTCACTCTGTGTCCCCGCGTATTTCTTCCTCAGTTCATCGACAGTCTGTTGTTCTATCTTAGTGAACAGAGGCTCGGGCTTATTGATCTTATGACCCGGACCCAAGAACCTCACCATACAGGGCGATCTACAACATACAAATATACATGAGATATATTAGGACGGATATATCTTAAGATAAAAAATAATATATTTTGTACTAGCTTCACCCGCGTGGAGTTCGGTTATATCGCGTTTCCAAGAGAACCTTTCAAAAGTCTGGGATAAAAACTATCATATGTTCTTTCTCAAGGTCAACTCTATATGTACCAAATTTCATTAAAATCAGTTCAGTGGTTTAGGCGTGAAAGCGTAACAGACAAACAGACAGTTACTTTCGCATTTATAATATTAGTAGGGATTATTAATACTCACGTCGGATTGATCCTTAGTTGGCTCTGATCTATGTTCAGTTGTGTACAGAGGCGTTTGCTCGTGTCGGGCATGTATGGAGCTAGCAGGGCTGCCAGCAGAGCTACCAGCTCACAACAGACAGCTATCGTTGTTGCAGCCTTCACCCTGTTAATATATAAGAAGGCTATTAAATATTTGTTGAACTAAGAATGTTATTTAAAATTTGAAAGTAAACAAACAGAATATTTCACATTTATAAATGATCAAATATAAGAAATGTTCAGAATTGTTGATAAAAAACGAAAATAAACGACTAACTCGGATCATAATTATAGTACATACAGTGTAAACTCTATATAACGACACTGAAGGGACCGTGCATTTTAGTGCGTTATAGAGAGTTGCCGTTAAATAGAGGGAAGAAAAATCAGAATTAGAAAAAGACAAAGTTTGTTTCAGACTAGTGTTAGTACTTATGTACATAAAAAAGAATGTTATAGTTTGAGATTTTGTGAGCAACTTCTTATGTTAACCTATAGGTAATACAAGACTCCTACTTATGGTCAAAATCCCTCGACACGTGTAATCAATTTGTAATTGTAAACAAAAGAACGAATTTCTTAGAAAGTTCGGTATGGATGATAAGGACAGTCGAGTTTATTGCGGGCTAGGATAACAAAGCGACAAAGGAACGTACACAGCTGCACAGTTTTTACTAATTTTAGCAACTTAAAAGGTACATTTTATAACTTAATTGTTGTCGTTATTGAGAGTGGGTGTGCCGCTATGTAGAGTGTATCATTGTATGGTAGACAAGCGAAACCAACCAAAGTCAAATGATTTCGACGCTTTAGAGAGTTTGTCGTTAAATCGAGTGTCGTTATATAGAGTTTACACTGTATTTATTACAAAGTCGGTTAAAACATTATTTACATCAGAGCAATATAAATAAAATTCCTCAACTAGTTTGACAAACATTAATATAAATAAATAAATAAACTGAATATATGAGAGACTTAAAATTTAACGCTGGTTTCAGAGAGACATGTACATGAGAGAAAAAAGAAGTTACATACGTAGAAATGTCTAAAATCCTTACAAATTCAAGAGAATCCTTAAAAATGCCAAAAAATTCTTGCAAATCATTAAAAACCCTTGACAGTCCCTAAATATTCTTGAAAATCCTCAAAAATCTTTGACAGTCCCTAAAAATTCTTGAAAATTATTAAAAATCCTTGACAGTCCCTAAAAATCCTTGAAAACCCGTATAGTATGAGTGTTCTCTCTGTGTGTATGTGTGTGTGTGTTTACCTGTCCTTTTCGTCTCCCTTCAGCAGCGCCCACGGCTGTGTGTCCTGCATGTACAGGTTTCCCGCGCGCGACACTCGCAGCACGTGACGGAGCGCGTCCCTCAGACGACCTCGCTCCAGGTGTTGAACATACGCTGGAACAAGACCGACATACATATATATACACTAGAAGACCCGGCGAACTTCGTATCGCCCTATAATCAAGAAATATCTGTTACGTGTTTTATAAATAAATTTAGGTTATACCTTAGCCTTAGAAACACGTGGTGGTTATGGTATTATTAAATATTCGCTCATATATGACGTGTGTGTTCTTAACATACCGCCATCTATTGAATACTTAACTCAGTGAACAGATAATTGTAATAATGACAAATAATATTCTTTAATAGACAAATAATTTGCAATAAAATAATATTGTGACTATAAATTGAGATGTAAGCTATTTTATCTTTTAAGTTGGATCAAAATGCACACGGAATGCAAATCAAATTTTAAATCGGTTAAGCAGTTTAGGAGTCCATCGCGGACAAACATGTGACACGAATTTTATACATAAAGATTGGATAATTCCATGTACATATATACATTGGAAACAGATTATTAGACAAAAGTTTGAGCTGAAATATTATCTATATTAACGAATTTAAGGTAAATTTTTTACAATTAGTATTTGCACTATCCCCGACTATACATATAAGGTACTGACCTTCAACATCTCTATTGACCCCAGCTATAACCTCGAGGTCCGCGTGTGTGAGATGTACGTCAGGAACAGACGCTGTGAACGAACTGTGACAGAAGCTGAGGCTGCGGTGACAGAAGTTACCCAGGTTGTTGAGTAACTCAGAATTGTTCCTGGAATAAACGAGAATATAGGAATGATAATGAGTACAATGACAAATATTATATACAAGGTTGAATTAGAACACAGCTTAAGACGACGTATGTGTGTGTGTGTGTGTGTGTGTGTGTGAATATGTGTCACGTTCATTATTGTGTGATGGGTTTTATATATAAACTATTACTACATTATAATCTGTTTCCACTCGTACTACTACGTACATCGTAAATTCACGTTTGGAGTTTTATGTGATACTACAGACTTACTGTATGTAAGTTGATTGAAACTTGTAGTAGGGGCTTTGATTTATTATAATAACTATCTTTCCGCCCGCAACTTCGCCCGCGTGGTGTTCGGTTATATCGCGTTTCCAAGAAAACCTTTCAAAAGTCTGGGATAAAAACTATCCTATGTTCTTTGTCAAGGTCAATCTCTCTATCTCTGTACCAAATTTCATTAAAATCAGTTCAGTAGTTTAGGCGTAAAAGCGTAACAGACAGAGTTACTTTAGCATTTATAATATTAGCAGGGATGATAACAAAGCTGGTATTAAGTGTACTTCACTATTTTTATATAATTTTATTATATTGGTCACTTGCGCCTGCGCATATTTTCGTTCATGAACATATACACATATCGGCGCTATCAGCTTTAATAACGGATGCGACATGAAAATAACTTGAGCCTGTCATCAATTCTTATTAAAACTCATTAGTATTCATGATTATTGTTAAAAGTAAAACGAAATCAAATATTGTTTAAAAGGAGAATAGAACTAGGTTTAAATCTTGGTATAAATATGACGTCTGGATGCACGACGACAGAAATCAGACTTGAGAATTTAGAGTTTAGTGAGTGCGTATCATTGAAGTATGTGATTATGAAGAACCTTCGAGAAATACAGGAGCATTAAGAACAATTGAAGTTTCATTTTAAAATATCATGGAATGTACTAGAAGAAGTGACGTTTGTAACGTCAGCGAGGCTGGCGTCTCTCTGTTTTAAAACAACGAATTTGTAATAAATCCGATTTACATATACAATGTATCTGTGTGTGTGTGTGAGTGTGTGTGTGTGTGTACCTGGTAGCGAGGTCCGTCCAACTAAAACTCGAGTCAGAAGTTTCAGGTCTGATCATAGCCAGGTAGAAACGCCACACGTCAGACGGTATGCCTGTGTCCTGAAATATATACAATAATAATATTACTATCACGTACCTACATGTTAAAAAATTAATGAACATCGCCGGGGCGACATGGTTGTATAAATAAAATATATAACGAGTGACGCCGTTAACTCCGCGGAACGAACACCAAGCCGTGTGAACCAGAAGATTCCTGATACCACACAAGCTATGGAATGGTATTGCTATCCTAACACCGGGTCAATCATGTAGTCTTAGGTGTAGGTTATGAGTTTTAATATGTAATTCCTATTATAATATACATATAAGTTAGTTTCGTAGTTTTCGAAGAATCTTTGGTTGCCCTATATAATTTATTCCAAAACAATAACTAAATAATGTTTTAATTTGTGTTGTACCTGAGCGTCCGTGCCGAATACACCAACTCCGCGTGACTTGGAAAACTTAGTGTCCTCATAGTTGAGATATTCTGAAATATATTATACATTACTTGATATATTAATAAATAAAAAAATTCAATATATCATATACATATTCTTTTCAAAACTAAGTCTTGTTGAATACAAGAGTATTATCGAAATCGATTCAGTATATATACAGTAAGTGATCAACAACATCACACAGAAAAAAAACAATATTTACATAACACCTGATCTTTTGCGTTACTATCTAATAAAATCTATTTAAATTACCCAATATGAAAAATTTTATATCAAAAACATAAACGATCGTTTAAATTACCGTCGAAACAAAAACGAGCGTTTAAAAAAACGCCACTGCATAAAATCATTATATTAGATTCTAGTTACAGATATGTTACCTGTGGCGTATATATGGTCCACTAGTAGATGACCTTCGTTAACACCTATCACTGTAGCGGGGAACATGATCACGTGGAACGGAACGTTGTCTTTGGCCATGAATTGGTAAAGCTTCACCTGGAACACGCATACATACATACATACATACACACACACACACACATACATACATATATGTGATTATGACTGTAATCTGATATGAATTTCTATTATTCCTTGAAGGTGATTTGTTGTAACCATCGACATATACTAATGGACATGCCTTAGAGATGAGAATTGTGTCACTCCGAAAGAAAGAGAGGAAACGAAGTTTCGGTCTATCTTTATCTTGCTCAAAATAGTACCGTACTGAAGACATTATGTGACCCTTCTGGATAATTTATTATTTCCTAATGTCATATACAGCTTTACGTTTAACCTCACTTTCTAGGATTTTCAGTATTAATGACGTATGAATTATACGGTTAAATTAACTATTTTAATCAATAAATTTATATGCCGCGCTTGTCATGAAAACTGAGCGCCAATCATCTTTGAGGATAGAGATAGTGCTAGACCGAAAGCACAGGCCATCTTTCTCACTCTTTTCAAACCAAAAAAATACTGCAGATTATACGCGTCCGGCATGTCCATTAGTATATGTCGATGGTTGTAATTCTATCAAAATAATAGTTTGTACCACTAGCGCCCTCTAGTAGTCATGTTGTAGTACAGTCTTTAACAAACAAGACATATTTTTAGTATATGCCAAACATTTATGCCGTTTTATTATTATTGCATCACCCAAAACTCTATTCGATTCCCGATATATGTTTCAACAATTATTACTTTTCATATATTTTCTTTATTTATACAGGGTGACTGGTGAATTACTATCAATATTCAAGGAGAATACTCGGTATATGATTCTCATTCGAATTACGTAAAAAAAATAGGCACTTAATTTTTGACAAAATTTCCGTATAAATAAATAATGTGTTGACACGTTCCAAGTGTTCCAAGTGTGGACGCGTGCGGCGGGGTGCTGATACAACACCACGCCGCCAAACGCGTATGTGTGTGTGTGTGTGTGTATACCTAATCTGTAGGGTGTTCACACGATGCGTAATTAATTACATAACTTTTGGTTAACTTTACTTAGAAGTTTATTAATATTTATGTTATATTAATTTTTATTTTGTCATATATGATCGTCAAATATCACGTCCTCAAGTATCGATAGTAATTCACCAGTCACCCTGTATATTTATTTTGTAATCCAACAGTTTTTATACATAAGTTTCTATATTAACTATTATATTACATAAATTAAAAGCAAAATAGTTAAAACCAATATATATATATACAGACATATTACATTTGTACATTATATGTAGTCGTACTGCAACACATCTATTATTTTATACTCACGTCGTAGTCCGGCGACCTTTTCCACCACTTCTCATAGTTCCCGGTCGCACACTCCGTTATACTGAGATAACCGATAGGAGCGTCGAACCACACGTAGAATACCTGGTACATATGCAATAATATAAATAATAATCTACAGCATACATAAATATGTAATAAAAATATAAAAGTAACTAAGTTAATTTTAAATAATTATTTAACACAGTGTTTAAAATTAAATATGATTTTACATTTAAATATAAACAAAATTATATATTTGAATTATATATGTTACATTCACTAATCTTATACCTATATATAATGAGATCTAAGATTTTCACAGGTATTCATTTAAATGAAACTAATATTTTTCGGAATATTACGCGACTTTATATTTGATAAAAACTACATACTCCCGACTTTTCGGCTAGTTTACAGCAACCGTGATCATTAAGACGAGATGTAACCATTTGCAGAGGAGTATAGTTTGTTAGACTTAAGAATTAAATTTTATTATATTTAAACAGATACATAACATAAGTGCGAGAGTTATTCTATATTAAAAATAAAATAAGCGAAACATGTAAAAGGCTAAATGGAAATATTATGCAAAAACAATTTTAAGTAATAAAAATTTTGAAAAAACAATACAAATTTTTCTTCACTTGTCATTGCGTTTTCAATATTTGACGTTGCTACCAGTACAAAGGGTGAAGTGAAAATGCGGGGCGAAGTAAAAGCAGAATAAACCGGTTAAAAACTAGAAAAGAACGTGGCATTCAATAATTTGACATCACACCTACACTATCCGTGTGTACTCACACAAATGCAAAGCTCAGCTTAAATCAAACGCACTATACATCCGAAAAACATTAGTTTCATGTATACCTATATATTATATAACCTAATAATAACTAAACCGTTACTATTAGGTTATATAATATTTATTTTTGTATGTGTTGATGTTGTATTTATTTTAAGAATATTTAATATTGTACCACCCTACACTGTCTTCGAAACGCAATCCTCTAACCCTAGGTAGTCTGGAAGAAATGGCTAATAAGCCATAAGGCCGCCTTTTGTTTCACCATTAGTTTTTAGTTTGTATTGAGATTGTGGTGTACAAAAAAGTGTTAAATAAATAAATAAACCATAACTAACTTTATTCTCAAATCCGGTTATAGGTACCGGCACCCCCCACTTCAAGTCCCTAGTGACCGCTCTACATCTCAACTTATCTCTCATCCACGCTCGAAGTACGGCTTTAGCCGGACCAGACCAGCCGACCTCCGCTCGAGAAGCCCACGAACGAAGAGAGGGCTCTAACTATAATGGAAACATATATATACATCCAACGAAACAAGATAAACATTATAAACAAACTTCAAAATAGTTTATTTGCTCGAATATGGGTTAACGAAGGTATTTCATACATTTACAGTGATCCAATAAACTCATAATATTACTAATGAATTTACTACATTTACAAATATAAAGTTATAGTTTACAAATTAAATAAATATTCACTATCATCATTACAAATAAATGGTTAAATACATTTATAAAGACGATTTTTAATATTCTGAATGATTTAAATAGCAATATTTTTCAAAGATAACTCGTTATGGAATTAAATAGCAATATTACTCATCGTACCTGTGGTAGTTCTATGAACAGCTGATCACTATTTCTTATTGTAGGCGTGGTTGAGCATACTTTACACCTCGCCTCACGTAATTCTACAGCGTTAATGAGTTTCCCACATTTATCGCATTGATCACCGCGCGCGCTGTCGTATAGACAACCGGGGTGGGGACAGGTACCCTCCACGAACCTGTAAGATCACTTATACATCATTATCAACCTATCAGAGCCCACTGCTGAGCCTCGTGTCACTTGGAGAAGATTTGAGCATTAATCACCACGCTTGCCCAAGACGGGTTGGTGATTTCAAACTTATAATTTAAAATTATAAGTGCAGGTTTCTTTACGATGTTTTCCTTCATCTGTCAGTGTCTAAATATTCTTATAAAGTACATATGACTCGGAACATCACATCGGCACTTACTTGCCAGGTTTCGAACCCGCATCTTCATGTATAAAAAAGATCCTTCAACCTTTAAGCCATCACAACTTACATGAAATACATTACTATGGGACATATACTCAACATTTTCTAGGACATATACATATTATGTACTTTATGAAAATTGTGCATATAGTATTGCTTTCATATTATATCATGAGTAAAATCTAATATTTCCAGTACTGACATAAATATTAATATTTATATATAAAAATAAATACTATTTAGTAATCTAGGACAGTAAACTTGACCAAGGTCAAATAGACCTGTGAAATTGTACTAGTACTGCCAGTTTTCATTATAGATCTCCTTTCTAAGACCTGGAAATCCTACTAATATTATAATTGCGAAAGTTTGTGAGTGTGTGTGTATGTTTGTTACTTCTTCACGCTCAAACGGCTGAACCGATTTTGATAATATTTTGTATACAGGAAGCTGACGTCCAGGAATAACATATAGGCTACTTTACATCCCGGAAATCCGCGGGTAACAACGCGGGGAACAGCTAGTAATTAATAATCTTGGACAGTAAACTTGATACAGTCAAATACACCTGTTGATTATACTAGTACTGCTAGTTTTATTATATATCTAGTATTTAAGACCTGGATATATTTCTATACTGACCTGTCAGCGAGGAATCTCTCACACTTCTCACAATACAGCTGTTCAACCGTCTGCTTGCTCACAAACCCATTGGCGTTTAACTTCTTGAATAAGTCCTGGGCTATCCTGAAATAAAATTTCATATTGACAATAACCGACTTCAAATAATAATGTATGTATGTATGACCAATTTAAGTTTATATTTTAGCAAGTATGATTAATGGAATAAATTTTTTCCAAGTGATATTAAATATAAAAATCAGTAATTATGTATATGATAAGTATTATAATTATTTAATAAAGACATTACACAATCATTCTTATATAGTATTTGATGTTTTAATTAGTATTTGCAAGTATATAACATTTTGATTATTTCTAATTATCTATGGAAAACCATGATTACTTTAATAATAATAAAAGTTAGAAGGATAGGTAAAGTACCTCTAGTACCTCTAGAAAATGTGTGTGTGTTTGTGTGTGTGTGTGTGTGTGTGTATACCTTGTCTGTTGTTCAGTGCTGGTTCTTCCAAAGTAATCAAAGTCTATATTGAACCAGCGGTACACGGCGTCGTGGATAGTGAAGTACTTATCACATATCTCACGAGGAGTGACGCCTTCCTCCAAAGCCTGAGAGAGATAGAAATACATGGAGATAAGGGATAGAAAGAGATGGAAATATACATAAATATTATGGCAAGACTTGAAACATTGTTATTATAAATTATTTGAACTAAGTTTGAAATTTATTCATTTATCAATGAATGGATCGATTTTGATGTAAATCTATGATTTTAAAGTTGACTTTTATATGCGATATGCTCAAACATTTGAGGTATTGATTACATTTTGTATATATAATATTTTGTCGGATTAAATATCATAAGCTAAATTATATATTTACTTTGAAAATATATAAGCACATATATATATACATACCTTAGTCTCCGTGGCCGTTCCATACTCGTCTGTGCCACACACAAACAGAGTGTTGAAGCCGCACAGACGACAATACCTGACAAACAATACATATGTATATATATAACAAATATATATAGAAATATGAACTATATGTTAATTTTATGACTTTTCTCACAGACATCTAATCAAATCTCTTTATGAATGAACATAAAAACAATCTCATTTGGGATATACAGTTATGATTTTTAAAATCTGAATTGAACTATAATTATATCATGATTCATCAAATCTGATATACATGATGATTTGATGAAACCTATAACTGCTTCTGATTTGATTATAACTTAATATATTCTCATTACATACATATATTTTGTTATGACATATTAATTTCTAATATTTATTATATAGATCTCAATTTTCTTTGTTTTTCATTCTACCATTTTTGTGTGAGCATCTTAAAACTTATTGTCCTCATTAAACTTCTTCTTCTACCTGGCAATTTCCCAGCTTTAGCCAGGTCTGCCATACATGTTGTGAATAGTTTTGGCTAATTGTTTTTACGACCGGCCTCCTGCCTGACATCAACCCTCTTTGGGAATGCATTAATCAGAGATGTCTAAATACTCTAAGAAAGTACATATGACTCGGAAAAATCACATTTGTACTTGCCAGGATGGAACCCGCGCCCTCATGCATGAGAGGCAGGCTTTAACCACTAGGCCACCACTGTTCTTATTAAACTATATATCGATATATTATATTAATAAAATGCTATAATATTATATACCTGGCAAATATATCCGCTGAGAGCACACAGCCAATAATGTTTCCGAGATGTGGTACATTATTAACATATGGCAGGGCTGAGGTTATTAACACATTCTTGCGATCCTTCACTGGTAGACTGGAAAATAATTAACACTAGCTTATTACCGTGACTTTGTCTGTATTAGGATAAAAATTTATAAATGTGTGTAGCTATGTGATAGGAGATGCATACAATTGTTTTGAGTTGTTCCAGGAAATAACGCAATTTCTGAATATATTATATAACTCATTTTGATGTATAAACTACGTTTTAGTTCGAAATTGTTATCAAAATCCGTTCAGCAGTTCTTGTGGTGTAGTGTAACAAACATATATACAGGGTGTATGAAAAACTGTGTCAACCCTCTTAACTACGTTATCAGTATCGATAATGTAACACAATAAAACAACTTACATTTACAAACTCTTCAATAAAAATAATAAAATTAAATATTAAATGATTATTATATGTAGAGTAACAAAATGTTTGTATGCCCTGGTATAATATGATGACACGCAATGACGTCATCACAGCTGCTGCGCTACTAGTGACGACCTTGAAGTTACTTTCACATTATTGAAAATATCGATATTTAAAAAATCATAGCAATAAATAAATATTTAATATTCATATTATTTCGATACTTATTTTGATATATCAAACATTAATATTATGTTTGATTGTAAAACACCATTTTTAACAGAAATAGATTAACGATTTATCCTAATAATACCACATATTATGTAGTTAATTTACCTGAACAAGTTTCATATTATAATATTTATTATTAATAAAAGTTATTTTAAATGAAATTATTTTAATGTGAAAAGCATAACTATTTATAGCAATATTGAAAATGTCGATAGAATATTTATCGATATAACTAATTTTTACACTTTCAAATCTCTATTCGAACAAATAACAGAATAGTAATAATAACGCCGGCGGCCCGGCGCCTGCGGTCAATGGTCACGCGTGCGCCGTTGCGACTATACGGTGTCTTGACCTTGTATGAGTCAGATGTTTGGAACATTCTTTCGAATAATGTCGATTTAAAACTTATTTAGACTATGCACTGTAACTGACCTCTGCTTGATATTTTTTAAGTTATACTATTTTTTATAATAAGCTTATACATACTTATATGTATACATGCCTTCAAGGGTTGACACAGTTTTTCATACACCCTGTATACAGGGTGACTGGTGAATTACTATCGATACTTGAGGACGTGATATTTGACGATCATATATGACAAAATAAAAATTAATATAACATAAATATCAATAAACTTCTAAGTAAAGTTAACCAAAAGTTATGTAATTAATTACGCATCGTGTGAACACCCTACAGATTAGGTATACTCACACACACACACACTCGTGCGCGGCGACGTGGTGTTGTATCAGCACGCCGCCGCACGCGTCCACACTTGGAACACTTGGAACGTGTCCACAATTTATTTATTTATACGGAAATTTGGTCAAAAATTAAGTACCTATTTTTTTTACATAATTCGAATGAGAATCATGTACCGAGTATTCTCCTTAAATATTGATAGTAATTCACCAGTCACCCTGTAAATATATGTATATCCTCACAAAATGTACTAAATTAATATACCTAAAACGGTGATCTAGTTATTGTTGATGATGATAGAGATACATATATGTATTGGCGGGATTCGAACCCACGACCAACTCACATAACATTTGAGACATAACACTCATACATTTTGATATGAGAATATTAAGAAGTATTATATCAATATCTCACACGACTTTTTCTCTTTTCAACGGCGGCTGTAGTTTATTAATTCCGTTGAGGAAGTTGTCTTTAGCCATTTCCAACTCCTCGGCTGAAATTTTTTCTGGTACTTCATCGGGGGAACTGAAAGATTAATAGCAAAATTAGACTCTATTTGTATAGAAATAGAGTTAATTCTTGTATGTCACATATGGATTATTATTTAAATTTGCGTCTTATGACAAAGATATTGAGTTAAGTTTTGTATGAACAAAATATGTTGAAGAAGAATCAAGTTCAAGGTTACAATTACAGGGGAAAAAATATCTTATATACATAGCAAAATGAGACTATTTGAATAGACATGGAATTAATTCTTGTATATGATACAGAGCTTATTTAAATTTAAGTCTTATGACAATAGTATTGGGTTAAATTTAGTTTGAAGAAAATATGTTGGACAAAAATCAATTCTAAGATTATAATACAGGGGAAAATATACCTTATATTGTTCTTGTATGGTTCAAAATATAAATTCTTAGTTACATATGGCAAAATGCATATTATATATAATAAATAAAGTTCATTATCACATGTAAAGTTTGTCAGAAATATTCATATATATGATATGATAAATTGATCTCTATTTTGTATGAAATAAGGTATAATATACCCGGTGGGTGTTTGTATGATGACTTGTGGATTGCCGAGCAGTGATGGCACTGATGGTGGGCTGTTCGGGGATCCACCCCACTGTTTTATAGCTTCCTGTAATATAAACATATATCTGATGGCTTCAAGTTACTGGTTGGAGAGTTAATTTAATAGATATATAATAATTCTTAGTATTTTTTTTGTATATCATCATTATTATCAGTCTATCAGAGCCCACTGCTGAGCAAAGGCCTCTTCTCACATGGAGAAGGTTTGAGCATTAATCACCACGCTTTTTATATATACTCATTAGCTATTTTATATATCATAATCATTTTGGATTAGGTCACCTTCTTTGTCAGTACAAAGTCAATTTATTATATTTAGGTCCAGTGACCTAAATATAGTAAATTGACCTAAGAACCACGAGAAGGAAATTCTCTTACAAATGATAATAGCTGCATCAAAACTGGTATATATGTATATGTTAGAGCATGTATGGAACAAACACAAACACATAATTACTCTCCTTTTTACTGTTAGGGGTTATAAATATAGGATTCTCTCAACATGAAGATGCTCGAGAGTGATAGGTCCTGGCCGGCGGTGTCCTCCTTCTGTGAGACGGTCATGTCCACGAAGGAGGCATCTGAACAGGAAAAAGAGGGTGCGGCTAATGCACCCTCGGGATACAGGGTACAGGGGTACATGGGTGCAACAGAGGATTCTCTCAACATACTGACCTGAACGGCTTTAGAGTTCCCGATATCTCCCGACCATCGTAGAACGTTACTGAACTCTTTAAGATAAGTTTCCTTGAGATCCGTGTAGCACAATGGATATAATGTGCTGACTATTGATATGTCTACAGCACTCAGTTTGTCCTGGAAGTTAACATGGAACTATTAAACCAATGGAAATTAGATTTATGCTGCAAAATTAGTAATTATAAAAGAAAAATTTACTATTAAAAAACAAATCTCATATATCTATTATTTATATTAATTGGTTCATACTGAAATGAGTTGAAAAAAGTGTGATATAATGTGATAAGTTCAATGCAAGTAAGGATTTTAATTTACAAACAAAATTTATGATAGATTATAACTAAGAAATATCTTATGAATGTTATATACCCCAAGTATATACTGATGTTTAGCCAGTAGATTGTTGACCGTCAATAATAAAGTGTTCAAAGCTTCCTTCAACTCGGATGAAACACTCTTAGAGGTAAGTATAGTTGACACGACAGGATAGAGACGAGTCGCTTCCCATTCTAACATCTGTAGACTGAATGGAATATAAATATTAAAACTTAACAAATATAAGACCTTTTTTGTTTTTTTTTTATTATTTTTTAATATTTTTGTTACTGGCACCTCAAATTCATTATAATAGGTATTAAATTTATATACTGCATTTTCTTGAAGGACTGATAAGGACAAAAATAGAAACTAAATGATTAAGAGTTGTTTCAATACCTCCCACGTAAGTTGTTGTATCTCCAAAACTGTAAATTTACGGTAGGCATTTCAAAGATTCAAATTAAATCAAAATCTGCAAAATTTGTAAATTACAACATTAGGTATGTGTCTGACAAATCCTTTAAAAATAGTGTTTTTGTTTTTTTTTTAAATTGAATGGATGTAATGATCCATAATAGGATATTTTCCAGGAAAAAATCAAAATAGCATTTTTGTGGCATACAACAACTTATGTGGGAGGTATTGGTTTATGTATTATTTATTTTTCTTGTAAAATAGTTATAGCAATAATATATATTATACTGAATAAATATATTTTTATTTCTAGATATTATAACTGAGAATTTATAAAATTAAGTTTGTAACAAGTTACAGAATAAGCATAATCTATCAAGCTTACCATTGTCCGTTCTGTGTGAGATCTAGAACAGGGAATAGATATTGAACTGCTGCATTACTGCTAAAGAAACTGAGCTCCTCATGGACTTCCAGACGAGGTAATACAGCTGGTCCTAGAGATTCTGTGACGAGAACAATATCATATGTGTGTGATACATGATAATCTTATAAGATATAAGAATAAATTTACTTAATATTTGTTGAAATATTCGCGATAATAAACATAAATTAAAGTTATAATATTAAAATTGTTACAATAATATTAAGTATTCCTTAAAATATTAAGGTTAAGAGAAAAGATTGAGACTAGAGAGTTAAAACTTGTAATGAAACTTATAATGAATTAAAAAGTTATCAGTATTTGATAGTCTATTTATTGTCTTATTGCTATGTTACATTTAATTGTTATTTATAAATATATCTAGCCATAACTTATGTTCTACCTTCGTAACTTCCTTTCAGCAATTCAACATCTTTCCCAGCTAACTTCGCCGCTATGAGCAGCTTCAATGTAGCCGTGTTATTCTCGTTAGTATAAATCTTCATTATAATAATGTTTACTTATATAAAATAAATAGATATTATAACATAACCTATACTTATAGATCACTTCAATAAGTGTTGGCAGAGCACGTATATGTATTGTCAGTGTCATAAAGTAAAAACTAAGTGACGTTTTGACATTCCTCTTCCATATAAGCAAATAATCGATCACTTATAAAAAGCAAGATATTTATATATTGTATATTTTTTCAATTTGAGGCCTCTCTAGTTATGCTATTGAATTAAATTCTTACTTATTGCTATAATAATTTCAAAATCCATTAATTTATATTTCTTATGCAACTTCCAATAAGGTTGCGTTAAACATTTAACGGGGTGGGGGATAACAATAGACGGAAGAAGGAATGCGTAGGGCTCAAACGCATGCGAGCAATTAATTATGATTTGTAAGTTATGTTCATAAATTTTATATTAAAGAAGCACTAAAATTCCTTCAAAATTAATTTCCACCCTTTCTTATTTCCATTCCAACATTAAGAAGTTTCATTTCTTCCGCGCGGAGGGACTCCACGCAGTACTAACTGTTTTTGGTTTTGAATCTCAAAAACTTAAATAGGAATATTAAAATTAGGAGGATACATGAAAAAAAACAAAAACTGGTTCATCATATTTTTATTGATAAAAATTAAACATTTATTTAAATAGTAAACTTAAATGTTAAATCTCATAAATATCAATTTGGAATAATTCTTAAATCTAAACAAACTATACAAAATGCATTTATACCATGAAGTAATAATTTTGACATACATATCTTTTTATATCTTTTAGACAAAAAGATTGTATCGCTGACATCGGGTACAACACTATTTAAAAATAAATTACATATCTGCCATGGAATGTCCTAATTCTAATTATAACTAAACTATTACAATGAATTAATTCTAATAATATCATTTTCAACAAATTTTTATTACCTAATTGTCTATGGTCCATTAATACGAGACCACTATTTGATAGTCATATTAAAAAGTTCTCATTACAAATATATTACAAAATTTTCGTACCAGACGATGACGTGTTAAAAAATAATGAAATTATATGTTATAGAGTTATTACAAATTAGAAGTGTCGGGACAAAATTATTTCATTGTTCCATCTAAACATATTTCGTTCTATAACAAAATGTTATATCAATTGTGCAATTTTGTCTGTAATACCATAAATAAAATAAAAATGTCATTTTCTATACATACATATATAAAAACTTATGAATAGGATATTATTTTGAATTCTTACAGCTATTTGATATATTATTTATAAATATTATTAAAAAAATACCACTGTATTTGACAGGGAATTTGACCCATATGTATAGTTTAAATAAAGTTAAATTTTGGATACAACCGCACTTGTAGTTCAATTGAATCAATACAAGAATTACAGATATGTATTTTCTATAATTAAATAGATTTTAGGATGTTTAGTAAAATTATATTTTAGGAACAATTAAACCAAAAATATTAAGAAACATTTTCAAAACCATAGTTATATAATATTTTGACACTTGATTAGTTTCACAGATAAATAATGCTTACAGATTATATAATGGCGTTACACCAAGATTAAGAATAAAAAAATACTCTGTTATATGTACATGTTGTGCTTGTGTACTTCACAGTATTTTGTACCTATTGTACATTGATTTAAGTTACATTATCGCTTACATCTATCATAGCTTAGAACTTATAAATAATGTGCTCACATTACTACATACATATTAATTAGTTTATGATATATTGTATAGATGGCACTAGTGTAGACGAGCCTTTATCAATGAAATATTTTACTTGTTATCTACAAGTTGTAAATGTAAATTAAATACATTACATAGTTTTGATCAGAACATGCACATTACATTCAGCCAATGACAATGACGGCTAGTTTGACAGCTGTCAGGTGTCAAATTTCATTTAAGGGGAAGCGATTCGTTAAGTGCATGTTATACTCAAATTCATTATTAATCATACTTTTTTGTTATTTCACATAAAATATCTTGTTCTACATCATTGTAAGAACAACTAATTAATGTCATATACTGGAGATCATAACGAATGTTTCACGTGATGGTTGTATATAGCTGTGTATACTTTATTGTTTGTGTTGTAAGTTTGGCTTGTCTTTGGGCCTGTAGGGCGCCGGGCCGGACCAGTCGGCGGGTGAGGGCGAAGTCCTATAGAACTTGCTGGAAGTCCTATTGAAGATTGGCAGCAGCTCGTTCGCTTCGTTCGTTAGAGCCTGAAGAATAACAGTTCTTTTAGTAAAACTATGTATAGCTGACCAATAGAACTTTATTTCGCTTTGAGGTGGTAATAAGCAGATTTTGGACATAATTTACTTTCAGTTGTTTTTTCGAATGAACGATATGAAAAAAATTCCAGGTCCTAAATAACCTTCTCACCAATTTTCAGCCAAATCCGTTCAGCCGTTTAGTATAAATGATTTAACTATCACGACTTTTATACATAATATATAGGAGTGGACACTAAAATAAATATAATAAAATGTAGTTTTAGTGCCAAGCGTGTTTGCTATATTTTTTTTAGATGGCAGCACTGTTCAAGAGATTTAAAGTTCAATTTTCTTGTATAAATGAGGTTATATACTCATCATTTCATCATACCTTCAGATATATGATCGCATCTGTTCCGTATCCCTCACATGACATCAACACCAGGTCGCCGTGGAAGTATCGCGCGTACAGACGAGATATCGGCAGACCGTAACCGTAACCTGTAATTAATTTATATATTGGCTGTATATATTAAACCGTGCTTTCCAATTTGTTATGTGACGGTGTAATAAGTGGTTGTTTAATTAAAATATAATTATCTTTATACGGTGTAATCAGAGGACGCCTTAGCTTCTGGGTAAACTTGTCTATTCTACACGGGTCTGACTCAGCAGTTCCGTGTGAAGACAGTTTTTGGTTTAATATTTCTTTTATGTTTTTAGATTATAATATTTCTTTTAAGAATTTCATTTATTGTCACTATTTGTTCAATCTTTGTGCAAAATAGTCACACCCTAGTTGTAACTTACTTTTAATTAAATTATGTCAAATAAATTTGGCTTCATTGCATCCACCGACCGTTGAAATCATAATTGATTTATAAACGTCAATATTTCTAAACGTGAGAGACGTCATCGTAAACATTTGTGTGTGAATAGATTCTAACTTGATGATTTACATGTGTATTAACGTGTTAATTAATTTGAATATGGAATAGCATCAGATCTGTATGTTATATAATAGAGATAGTACCAATGTGTGACGTCATCACGTCTGTGTATGCGTGTGAGTGTGAGTCACACTATACACACACATACACACACTCACACTGTGTGAGTGTGTGTATGTGTGTGTGTCTCACCAGCCACGGGTACGTACCACATTTCCGTGTGTGTGTGTACTTTATATTATACAGGGTGACTGGTGAATTACTATCGATACTTGAGGATGTGATATATGACAAAATAAAAATTAATCTTCTATATATATAAAAATGGATTGCTGTTCCTTAGTCTCGCTAAAACTCGAGAACAGCTGAACGGATTTATCTTATCTTAGTCTTGAAATGTTTGTGGAGGTTCAGGGAAGGTATAAAAGATGAAAAAAATTGATTCATTACTGGGAAAACCCTAAAAACAGCCCTTTTCTATTTCCCATACAAACGTTTTTTTGACATTAAATTTGACAACTAACTAATATGTCAATCATTCTGTCGCACTTCAAAACACGGAGATTTATGGCTTACAGGTAAACTCCAAAAATATAAATAAAAAAACGTGATAGATATTTCTTGATTATATGGCGATACGAAGTTCGCCAGGTCTTCTAGTATAACATAAATATTAATAAACTTCTAAGTAAAGTTAACCAAAAGTTATGTAATTAATTACGCATCGTGTGAACACCCTACAGATTAGGTATACACACACACACACACACTCGCGCGCGGCGGCGTGGTGTTGTATCAGCACGCCGCCACACTCGTCCATACTTGGAACACTTGGAACGTGTCCACACTTTATTTATTTATACGGAAATTTGGTAAAAAATTAAGTACCTATTTTTTTTACATAATTCTAATGAGAATCATGTACCGAGTATTCTCCTTAAATATTGATAGTAATTCACCAGTCACCCTGTATAATCGTGATAGTATCAATGTGTGACTTTGACAGTGTGTAATGATAGACACGTGACGTCATCACGTCTATGTATGTGTGTCTCACCAGCCAGCGGCACGGTCTGCGAGTCGGAGCGCGATGGTTGCGGCGCCGTGCTGTACATGTACTTGAACAGGAGGTCCGACACGCTGCGAGGAATACCGCCTCCGCGATCTGACATCTGACGGAAAACAACAGTATATATACATATATATCCTACTAATATTATAATTGCGAAAGTTTGTGAGTGTGTATGTTTGTTACTTCTTCACGCTCAAGCGGCTGAACCGATATTGATAAAATTTTGTATACAGGAAGCTTATATCCATTGATTGTTTATGGAAGTACTTAGGAGTGGTCTATGAAAAAAATGTGAGACAGGAATCTATTTGTAATTAGTTTGTAAATGGAAAAATATTTTTAATATTTATTGTAAACGAAACTTTTATTAGCAATGATAATATGTTATTAGATATCTGATGTAAGTGACGCACGTTATTAATGTTACCAGAGTTTTTTTTGCATATAGAATATTTTAGAACTCGCTTAGATTTTTTTACGGATATCCATCATTATCGGATACGATTACGGTCAGATATTTATACGGATTCCATTCCTCACCTTGACCGATATATCCTCTCGTCCCTGTACTATGTTGACCTGTATGGGCGGCGGGTTATTTTCGTGAGTTTCCATAACCGCTCTCATCGAATTCTTGAATAGCTCGAACAGCATGTGGTAGAGGTGAGATGGCACGTACACTACTGGCAGCGGGTGAGTCTCCCTCGCTGGAATATGACCACATATAATATTAAGATTCGAGAGATACTATCACCTTATATATCATTTTAAGTATTGTAAAGATAAGTCTAACTATATAATATATCAAAATACATCTTCTAATATTAGTCAACAAGAACATATACCACAGTGACGTCATCAGTGTAATACGAGCGTAAAACACCTTTACATGTGTGTGTATTGAACTTAATATGTATGTATGTGTTTGTGTATTAAATTCACAGCAAAATGTACTTACAGCCGTGCTGCAAGAGTTCTAATTCCGGTGACGCGAGGTAGTACCGGTCGCAGAGGAAGCGGGCGTTCTCGTAGGCGTCTTTGACAACGGCGATGACGTCACACGCGGGGTCTATTGAACCGATGTGTCTACCGCCGTTACCTATACCATTTACGGAAGCCTGACGAGCACCCAGCTCGTTCTCACCGAACAGTAGGGCTGTAATTATGAAATATCTTTATATTAATATATTATATTTATTAATAAGGTGAAGAATAAGCTTGGGACAGCCCTGGGATAGATAATATGAACGAGTCATGTGTATGATGTCCGTAAACATATCCGATATCCGACTATGTAGAGATATAAGTATCCGTATTTCGTATAAATCATTTTTACGATTGATTCATTTCATTATAACTTTATACTTTTATTTGTGAAAAATGTATATGTTGATGTAATTATATCAAATAAACATTATTGGATGTTTTAAACTATTTTTTTTTTTATTATTTAAGTAGAAATGGAGTATCGTATCGGATATTTTATTTTTTTTTTATTCAGACAAAACATTTCTGGTTATCACATATAATATCACGTTTACCAGAACACGGTTTATCAATGTTTATAATAACGCGACAATAAAAATTTTAACAGTAATAATAAAATTAGTTTTAATGTGTTCAAAGCTATTAATTTTTGTATACATTACACGTGACTTAATAAATAACACGTGAGAACAGTTAATATAAAAATAATCAACGAAATTAATGTTGAAGACATTTATATGTTTTGAATACTGATAATTATAAGCGTTTGAAATAAGAAAAATTAAAAATTTGCATTTTTTTATATTTCAAACTAATTGCAACTAAGCAATGAATAATAACTATTATAATAACATGAAAATTAAGTTAATTTAAAATAATCTAATGATATATATAACACTTCTATATATTCTATATAGTACTTATAATAGCTTCTCCATGTGAGAAAGAGGCCTTTGCTCATCAGTGGACTCTAATAGGCTGATGATGATATATAATACTAATAAAATACATAACATGTATATATTATTAACAGAAAGTAACGTTAAAAGCTAATTTATATTCAATACTCAATTACAAATCTAGATGATGTCGGATATAATTACGATTTAGTCGGATATAATTACGATTTAGTCGGATATAATTACAATTTAGTCGGATAACTCACTGTGCTGGTTGATCAACATCCGTATGGATATCCGACTCATATAGAATCTGTCCAGGAAGTATTGTATCGAGTTCTCAATCCCGGGATCGACTTCGTGGGATTCCTTGAGCTCCAACACTCCTTGGGCCATCGTTTGAACCACGTCTGAATGACGATTACGTATAAGGACCAAACGCTCGCAGAATCTGTAAATTATTGGTGTTCTATTGAGTTTTCGTTAAAAAAAGCATTGATTTTGAGTTAAATATGTATATATGTCTAATTCGGAAAATTATAATCGTATTTAATTCGGTTTTTTTTTTGCAAAATACGATGTATATTCTAAGTAACTATAATGATTGTATGAAATCTGAATTAATAATATTTATGTCTACATGTTTGTGGAAGTCTTCAAGATTAATCAGTTAGTTAGCATTAACCAGAAACATCCCAAGTTAATATAATACAATGTTTAAATTAATTAAATAATTATCGACAGATTCATATATGGGTACGGTTTGTGTCACGTAATGTCATACACGATACAATTATCAGGTCGTATTTCTGGAACTACATGGAGTTACTATATCTTTTTCTGATATATGAACAACATTATTGCACGGAACTAACAAAATCCATCGAGTAGTTATTATGATGAATCGTGACAAACATAACGATAAAAATATCTCATTTACAATGTTAATGGGACATTATACAAAGATTAATGGAAGATATGTGTATGTGTGTGTGTGTGTATGTGTGTAGTATAAACCCACTCGCTAAGAACTGGAGGTTCGGGTTCCTTCTTCTCAAACTCAATGATCTCCTCGAAGGACCTCTCGTACCACTGGTTCACGAGACCAACTGACGGCATTCGTAATAAGTTCTCCGGCAGCAGGGCTATCTCCTTCATTATGTTCGCCAACCTGGTATATGGAAAGATATATATACATCTTTATATATATAATTCTTCTGTGAGTGTGTATGTCACTGAACTTGTCTCAAACGACTGGACCGATATTGATGAAATTTTTTGTGTGTGTTTAAGGGGATCTGGGAATGGTTTAGATTCACAATTTTGCCGCTGGACAATGTTTTTTTTAATTAATTTTTAATTTATTAGTAGTTGTTGATACAAACGTTTTTTTGAGAATAGATTTGACAACTAACTAATATGTCAATCATTCTGTCGCACTTCAAAACACGGAGATTTATGGCTTTAATAGGTAAACTCCAAAAATATATATAAAAAAACGTAATAAATATTTCTTTATTATAGGGCGATACGAAGTTCGCCGGATCTTCTAGTATATATATATAATTGATTGTGTCTATATATAATTTTTTACACTAAGGGTATAACGATAGTTAGTTACGCAGATAGTCTACTTGATGAAAGGTAGTTTCTTTCGTCAATGGACATCTGCAACATGGTGTTGCTGATGCATTGAGGTGAGAGTAATGATGGAAGGTTACTATGACCAATAACCATTCTGTCAAAGAACATTGCTCTTAGTCTGGATTGAGAGTCAAGTTTTGTGAGTAGGGAATATCGCTGATACGACCCACGTTTGTAAAATCTCCCTGGATTTTACACCTATGAAACACGCTTAACACCTTAAAAAAGATTTAGGCTGATGTAGGACAGAATATAGTAGGAGAGGAAAGAGTGGGAAAGGGAAAGGAAGACCATCTCTCTCACTCATCAGACAAAACGCAGCCATTAAAGACTACTTCACGCCGATCTTCTGTGAGAGGGTGGTACTTACGGTCGAGACAGACCATGTTCGAGCTGTAGTATGACCATAGCTAGGCTCTACCACTTCACACATATATAAGCATATAATAATATATTTTGTTCATATTACAATAATAACATTATCTCTATATAACGTTTATGACATCAATAAAAACATTATTATGTATTATTTACAATATTTTAAAAGCATCACGCCAATAAAAAGATAATGTTCACGTATGACAGATTAGATATAAATGATTTGAGGTAACGTATGTCGTCAAATATTATTATTTATAACATGAATAGAAATAAAAGAAATTATAGAAGATATATCTGAAATTTATTGTAGTTATTAAAAAAGTACCATCAAAATCGGTCAAGCCTGAAACGGCTATTGAAAAGAACAGATAGGCAGAGGCCTCTCGGCCTCTCGTCGCCGAGGGCGCGGGTTCAATCCTGGCCCGGGCAAGTACCAATGTGATTTTTCGGAATCATATGTACTTTCTAAGAGTATTTAGACATCACTGATTAATGTTGATTCCCAAAAAGAGGGTTGATGTCAGGCAGGCGGCCGGTCGTAAAAACAAATAGCCAAAAACTATTCATAACATGTAGGGCAGACCCTGGCTATAGCTGGGAAATTGCCAGGTAGAAGAAGAAGAAGATAGGCAGAGGAAAAGATTTTAATTGTTTTGTATTTTGTATAAATATTACTTTGATACAAAAGATAAGTTTCTATATTATTATTATTTTTAAATTTACCATACCAAATTTAAAACTATGTTATTGTAACAAAAATGTCAAAATATAACAATTTGTATGTAAAATCATTTTTTTATAATTCAGTTATTCTTACCTAACTGGTAATTCATTACGTAGGAAGAGGTAGGATTTCCTTTCGCAGGCGTTCAGACCTGAAAACAAAAAATATTGTAAGAAAAGGATGCAAGATTATTTGTATTAAAAGTTACGTTTGTTAGAAAGAGAAAGACGATTTATTTTTAATGGCAAAAATTTGCGAGGGAAATATTTTCTTTTAAATTTATTAATATGGCATCTATTGAATTGGCCAGTTACGAAAACTAACGTTAATATTTTGAATATCAGAAAAGAGGTTGAATATTTTTGACATATTCATAAATCATACGAAGTGTCCAAACAGTTAAATCTATTTTTATATATAAAAGGAAATAAATACATTTCATGATAACAATCTTCTATATATATAAAAATGGATTGCTGTTCCTTAGTCTCGCTATAACTCGAGAACAGCTGAACGGATTTATCTTATCTTAGTCTTGAAATGTTCGTGGAGGTTCAGGGAAGGTATAAAAGCTGAAAAAAATTGATTCATTACTGGGAAAACCATAAAAACAGCCTTTTCTATTTCCCATACAAACGTTTTTTTTGACATTAGATTTGACAACTAACTAATATGTCAATCATTCTGTCGCACTTCAAAACACGGAGATTTATGGCTTACAGGTAAACTCCAAAAATATAAATAAAAAAACGTAATAGATATTTCTTGATTATAGGGCGATACGAAGTTCGCCAGGTCTTCTAGTAAACAATAATTAAGTCAGTTGTGGCCTAGTGATTAAAAGGCCCGCCTCTCATGCACGAGAGGGCGCGGGTTCGATCCTGGCAAGTACCAATGTAATTTTTCCGAGTCATATGTACTTTCTAAGAGTATTTAGACATCACTGATTAATGCTGATTCCCAAAGAGGGTTGATGACAGGCAGACGGCCGGTCGAAAAACAATTAGCCAAAACTATCCACATGTAAGGCTCCTGGCTAAAGCTGGGAAATTGCCAGGAAGAAGAAGATAACAATAATGTTTATATGCATTTAAATAATAAATATTTTATAATGATAACATATATTGTGAGTCACAAGTCAAGGGCTCGTAATATAATGCCGATGTCGCTACACAGAGGTCGTGAACGGGACACGTGACAGACACGGCTGTATCAGTACTTCCGGTTTGTTGAGGATAATAATTTCTTTATTATTATTATCTTACTAGCTGACCCGGCAGACTTCGTACTGCCTCAATCGAGAAATAAATAATTTCTTATTTATATTTTTGGAGTTTACCTTTAAGCCATAAATCTCCGTGTTCTGAAGTGTGACAGAATGATTGACATTTTAGTTAGTTGTCAAATCTAATGTCAAAAAAAACCTTTGTATGGGATATAGAAAAGCGCTGTTTTTAGGGTTTTCCCGCAAATTAAAATATTTTTCAGTTTTTAAACCTTCCCTGAACCTCCACGAACATTTCATGAATAGGATAAGATATATCCGTTCAGTCGTTCTCGAGTTTTAGTGAGACTAACGAACAGCAATTCATTTTTATATACATATATATATAGATATAGATTATCTTTTATTTTAATACATGTACAGTGTGAATATTTAATCTTGTTTTCCCGAGATCATGGTTGATGTTAAATAATTTTAATGTGGAAGAATAATGATAATATAACAAAAATCCAGTAATTATCCGAATATTTTTGCTATATGTTTATAACTACCAGTTTTTGCCCGCGACTTCGTCCGCGTTAATTTCGTCATTAGTAATATATGTATAGCTGACCGGGCGAACTCTATCCCGCTCTAGAGGACGTAAATAACCAGATATTGGAATTTATTAATTATTATTTTTTTCCATCGAACAGAATTAAATATCCTATGTCCGTCTCCTTGTTCTAATCTATCCCTCCACCAATTTTCAACCATATCGCTACAGTCGTTCTTGAGTTATAAATAGTGTAACTAACACGACTTTCTTTTATATATAAAATATTAATCGAGCAACGATAGCATTTTATTACGTGACATTAGAAGCCTTACAAGTAACAATATGTATCTTATTAAGTAATATATAAAAAAGCCTAAAATACAATAGTATCTTCTTTTACTTGGCAATTTCTCAGCTTTAGCCAGGGTCTGCCTTACATGTAAAAGTTTTGGCTAATTGTTTTCGCAGCCGCCTGCCTGACATCAACCCTCTTTGGGAATGCATTAATCAGTGATGTCTAAATACTCTTAAAGTACATATGACTCGGAAAAATCACATTGGTACTTGCCAGGGCCAGGATCGAAGGGTATATATTCTCATAAACAGCCAATGTTCTTTAAGTAAAGAAATTCGTACTTGATTTTAACATTTGCCTCATAATCTTTTTAATTTTTATAAAAAATTAAACCTTTTTAAGTGAAATCTTTTCAGTAATTGCCTTTTTATGGCAGCACAATCCGTTTAAAGCAATTTTCCGAACCGGCGACTCAAAAAACGATGACAACTAATACTTAATAAATCGTGAAATAAGAAAGTAATCGGTATATATATTTTATTATCACTTTGGATATATATACAGGGTGACTGGTGAATTACTATCAATATTTAAGGAGAATACTCGGTACATGATTCTCATTCGAATTATGTAAAAAAAATAGGCACTTAATTTTTAACAAAATTTCCGTATAAATAAATAAAGTGTTGACACGTTATATATATATATGTGTTGCATTTTAATATTACTCCATTTATACAATAAATAAAGAAATATTCAAATTTGTATGTGGAAACTTAACAAGAATCAATAATTATTTTGTCTGTAGTAATTTTTTTAATAATTTAAAATACGTTATTTTTCTTTGTACTTTATATAATGTTAAAAATAAATAGTAGGTAGTTTTATGTTGAAAACATTATACTAATATATCTCTAACTTTATAATTACACTAGAAGACCTGGCGAACTTCGTATCGCCCTATAATCAAGAAATATCTGTTACGTTTATTTATTTATATTTTTGGAGTTTACCTATTAAAGCCATAAATCTCCGTGTTCTGAAGTGCGACAGAATGATTGACATATTAGTTAGTTATCAAATCTAATGTCAAAAAAAACGTTTGTATCAACAACTACTAATAAATTAATAATTAATTAAAAAACCATTGTCAGCGGACAAAATTGTGAATCTAAACAATTCCCAGATCCCCTTGAACACACACAAAAAATTTCATCAAAATCACTTCAGAGAAGTTCAGTGACATACACACTCACAGAAGAATTATATATATAAAGATGTATATATATTTTTGTTGAGAAATACATACTATAAGGTATTGAACCTTATACTTGTGTAGGTATTTATATGTAAACATTTTAACACTGAACATACGAGTAGGTAACAATATTCTGAAATGACGATTCCTCACTAAATTTTAACAACTGAATAATTTTATTATATCTAAAACTTTCGCGAGTATTCATTTAAATGAAACTAATATTTTCGGATTACTACATACGTATTTTTGTTATTTTAAACTGCATACTACCGAAGTTTCGGTTACTTTGCAACCGTGATCATTAAGACGAGATGAGAATGTACGAGAATTATAGTTTAAATTAAATAATTAATTTAAAGTTTCATTTATTTACTATTATTTAATACTAGCTTTCCGCCCGCATCTTCGCCCGCGTGGAGTTCGGTTATATCGCGTTTCCAAGAGAACCTTTCAAAAGTATAGAATAAAATCTATCCTATGTTCTTTTTCAAGATCAACTCTATATGTACCAAATTTCATTAAAATCAGTTCAGTGGTTTAGGCGTGAAAGCGTAACAGACAGACAGACATAGTTACTTTCGCATTTATAACATTAGTAGGGATTGTAACATATATGACAGAATTCCTATATGTTTGAAGCATCAATGAGTAAATACAAAGTGTACTTTGAACATTTATTTATAAACATACACGTTTATAACCTTGGCTTCGTCCATAAGTAGGTTCGCGCCAAAGATTTGACACATTAATATTTGGACGTCGCCATAGTAACTATATGTAATAATATGGATAATTAATATATTAAAAAAAGTCGTGTTAGTTACACTATTTATAAATCAGGAACGGCTGTACGGTTATGGTTGAAAATTGGTTGAGAGATAGATTAGAACATATAAAAGAACATAGGATACTTTTGATCCGATACAAAAAGAAGAAAAAACAGACAGACAGACCAGACAGACAGACCCTGGCTATAGCCGGGAAATTGCCAGGTAGAAGAGAGAGAAAAAGAAGAAAAAAGTAATTTGTTCAAATCCAAAATCTTCTTAAATACTGTCTTTAAGGAGGAATAGAGTTCGTCCTGTCAGCTATACATTTCTAATTCTGAAACTAACGCAGACGAAGTCGCGGGCAAAAACTAAATTATTTGTATTTTTCATACAACTTTGATACTTTGAAACAAAGTTTTAATTCGTTCTTTTCTAAACATGCAAAAACAAAACAAAAAAAACGTCTAATGATAAACAAATTGATTTGAGAATAACAAGTTGTAAGGTAATTTCCACCACATAATATTAACATTAATTTTACAATAAAAACATCTCGTTGAAAACTAGCCAAAGTTCTGGAGATGTTCTAACGAAGATGAAATTACCTTCCGTGTCGATATAACAATTGTTACAATATATAAAATACTCGTAAGTACATATGAAATATTTATGAAATTCTTCCATAAATTTCATTTAGGTTAGGACCTAATATATATGTATTTTTGTCAGAAATAAGGATAACTCAGCTGTGTTAAATTTTTTTACTTATCAGTATGTTAATTTTTTTTTCATTTATTAAACTAAAATAATAACTATTTCAATACATATCGAGTCGAAAATAAACATTTAAATATTTTATTAAATGTTCTAATTTCCGAACGTTTCCGTCACAACGTCCTTAAAATAAATACAAACATACATATATATATGTAGTATCTTTATATATAAAAGAGACGTGTTAGTTACACCATTTATAACTCAAAAACGGCTGTACGGGTTTGATGAAAATTGGTGGAGAGATAGATTAGAACATAGAAAGGACATAAGATACTTTTCAGACAA